CGTGTTGACCGCGGCAAACTTTAGCACGTGTGTCATGGTGCATCTGAAGCACAACAGATGCAGCTTCGACCGGGGACAGACCGCGACCGCCCGTCGCAGCTCGTTGTTGTCGTCGTACGGCTCCTCACAAAGCCCGCAGGTGGGCGGGTCCTCCTTCTTCTCTAAGTCCCCGCCGTCCTCTAAATCTATCAAGTTCATAGATTCCCCGCTCGTGGACGGGTCTGCCTGCGGCTGTTGAGGCGCGGGGTGGTGATTCCCCGTCAGCCGGGCCGTAGCCGTGGCCACCGAAATAACCCTCTTCCGAGTCGCGGCCAGAGCATCCGGCACCTTGCGTATCGCGTTCGCGTAAAATGTGTCCCTGACAAGGAAAATGGCCCGAAACTCGGCAGTCGAGATGCGGCCCTCCTGGAATTCGTTCGCGTACAGCTCCCACCTCTCCTTATCGTTCGCAGGGAACATCTGCGTCATCACGCTAAACATCCTCTTGATGTCGTTGTACACCGCAACCTCCGCTGCCTTCTGCTGGTCTGTCTTGTCGGGGCGCAAGCCATGGACGTACGGGTTGATGGGGTCAAAGGTTGTCCCGGCGTAGAGAAGCCACATCTTCGCAATGCCGACCAGCTCCTCGACGAGCTCATCCTTCAGCCCGTTGTCGAGCGCGATCCACGTGACGGCCTGTTTGGCTTGTTGTCCGCGCAGGCGCAGCTGGCGCTCGAATTCGCTCCATTCAGAGTCCGTCTCGATCCACAGCTGCTCCTGACGCACCTGTTCGATCTTGTCCGTCACCTCGACGTCTAGCGTCATCAAGGCGTTGTGGTAGCGCGCCTGTTCCGACGGGTACATGTCGTAGACAGCCATCTCGTCGACATTGGCCCGGGCGCCTCGGCGGTCGAGGAAGAACCTCCGGGCGGCGGTTCTCTCTTCCTGGAGATACCGGCTGTCCTTGTGCGTGTAGTTAGCGCCCAGGACGTCCATCATGCGGGAATGGCGTTTGAGGATGCGCTCAGCCTCGTACATCCGCATCCTGCGGCCGACGTTGGCGGACGCGGGAAGCAGTTGGGTCTGACACCTGCAGTCCTGCATGCGAGACGCCGTCCCCTGATTAGCGTTATCCATCCAGTGATTGTCGTCGCAACGGCAGAACATCTCGGCACGAATCTCCATCCTGACCTGCCTGAGATCATCGTCGCGCATGTTCGCTTCTGGGATCTTGCGCGCGATGGAGTGTTTGAGCAGGATGACGACTTGCTGAAAGTATTCAAATAGATCTGGGTGTACGTCGGTGTAAGGAGGTCCCCTGAGCACGGGTCCGCCGGATCTGTCCTCGTCTCCGTCATTGTGTTTGTCCTCATTTTTGGCTATCTTTAAACCAAAGGCAGAGGCCTTCTTTTCCATCATTTTTCTCTCTTGCTCTGGGTTTCTCTCGGTCAAGTCTCTGCTGAGCTGCTGCTCCTGGCGGAGCCAGGCCTGGCGAGGCAGAGCACTGGAAACGTTCAGACAGTCCGCACACATGCCCTGTACAATTTCGACGACCTTGCCTGTGGGTTGTCTGCAGTTGCCGATGAACGGGTGGGCACAGTAGACCCGAACCTGCTGCATATGGTGTTCCTCTCCAGCCCTCAACCTAACACATGCGTCAAGATCGCCAATTCTGCGGTAGAGCTTCACCTTCTTGTTGGGGAGATCGAGAATGTTGTTATCCGGATGCTTTTGTTTGGCCTCTCTTGACTCTTCAGTCTCGGGGCATTGGTAGAAGATGTGTTTCAGGATACACATGCTTGCGGTAACCGTCGAGGGGCAAGCCTCGGAGTATTGATGCTGTCGCGATGAAGGGAAGGAAATGAGTGTACGATGACACTATAGACAAGAGATGGGTGAGCAGGTTGGAAAGATGGCGTCAGGTTCTTCGGGATGCAATTTCGCCTCGGGGGAGAGCGACGTAGGAATCATTTTGAACCACTGGAAACCCACATCATGATGAACTTGATCTGCGGTAAAAGGAGATAATACGCTTGACCTCGTCGGTAATGATGCTATTGTCAAAGCTCAGGGAGGGAACAATAGGAGAATAGAGAGATTCGTTGCGTCAAAGGGAAGTCGACCATTCCAAGTCCGCCCCCGGGAAATGCCTTGAGAGATGAAAGAAATGCCCATTGACGGTTGATAAAGAACCGAAAAAGACACGGCCACCCATTGAGGGAGCGAGAGAGAAAGAGAGAAACTGCCAACTCTGCTCCACGCAGGTCACAACTACTACACCGACTGTCGAGGTCCAACTCCTCACTTCTAAGCCAAATCACGACCCAAGAAGTGAGACCCAAGGAACTTTGAACGAGGTCGGAAGATATCGCGACTGTCTCTTTGCAACATTGGGCCACATCGAAAAGATCCTCCTTCGATAGAACGTGGTCTCGAACTCCAAGACCCAGTGAATCGAAAGACTTCAATCAACCACTGATAACTGTTCATGAAGACAGCGCCCAGAATAAACGCTTCGCCTGCGAACCACTGGAATGGTCGGTCGTCTGGGTTCTTGATTTGACACCCAGCAGAACCTTCTCACGTTGCGTCGTCTTCGGATATCTCCGTGGCCTCAACTAGCTAAATGCTGAAAGTTGTTCCGCATGAAGGGGCCAATGGATATGGTGTCTGAGCTCAGCGGCTCAACGGACCGCCAACTTGAACCGCCAGGATCTCAATTAATCGAATCGAACTCCATTGTTTACAGACGGACTTTGACCAGCGGGCCAACCGACTCACTAATCAATGGGACTCGTCTCCTGAACTCGCCTAACGCCCAAGTTCCTGGTCGGATCTGCGAGGCCCTCTCATCTCAAGAGGGATGGTTTCGAGCCCAAAGGAGACAACGAATCAAAGACGCGACCCAATAAGGGGACAAAAAAGTATATGCCTCGAATATCTCAATGCGGCTTATCTTAAGAAGTCAGCAAAGCTCATTGACAACCCCAAATATCGTGAAACCAAACACCAACCCCTCGTCAAGTTATTCCGTCAAAGAAAATAACTTATCCCTTCTCATCTGGGCTGTTCACCGAAGTGGTCGGTCGTCTGGGATCTTGAGTTGCCTTCAGTAGTACTCCGTAGGTGCTGCCCCCAGCAGGACTCTTCCCCCCGTCGTGTCGTCCTCGGATCTCTCCGTGGCCTGGCTGAAAGCTGCAAATCGTTCCGTCTAAAGGGGCCGTTGGAGATGGCCTTGGGCTCAATCGCTGAATTGACAGGGTCTTGATGAATCGCCACAGCGGGCCAACCGACTCTGTAATCCCTTGAGTAATTCATAATCGGACTCGTCCTCTGGTTTCTTTGAAAAGCCAGAAGGCCTGCTAGGTTCCCTCTCAGCTCCTACAAGGGCTGGACCAAAAGACGGCCTCGAGCCCAAAGAATCGAATGCGCACCCGACACCATGACAAAAAGCCTTATATCCCTTGAGTCTCTCGATATAGCTCTCGTCTTAAGTCATTGTTGCTCAATGTTACTTCAAAAACTACAGCTCGTCAGCAAAGCTCATTGACAACCCCAAGCCTCGTGAAACCAAACACCAACCCCTCAACTCAACCCATCAAAGACCCCCTTCCTCCCTTTGCACCCGGTCCATCCGTCACCAACCTCATTCATCAACCCCCATCAATCAACAAAACACATCCCCATCATCATCATCAATAGCCCGCAACACAAACCATCCTTATCCAACCTCATCTCCCCCGTCCCTCCGCAAGCGGGGATGAGGCACATCACAGCGAGAGGGAGGTGTGGGTTCCCCATCCAATCCCCCACCACCCCTGCCGCCCAATCACGAACCTACATGGAACCCGCTCCCAAGACCTGCACGAAGATGGAGCCCACGCGCAGATTTTAGGAGGCTGAGCTGAAAAAAAAGGCCACCACCACACTCACACTCTCACGCCCGCGTCGCCCGAGAGAAAGATCAGACCACCCTGTTCTCTTCCTCAAAATGACGAACTCTAACCAATCCTCCCCCCCACCATAGACGAAATCGAGGGAATTAATCGCGAGTGGAAGGAATCGATTTAGATAGATAGATAGGTAGATACCTTACCTTACCACCGCCGACAAACGATGGAAATTGTTATCGGGATTGGCTTTTTTTTGGGCTTCGCAGGGATGAACTCGCGGTTTCTCTCGGCCCCTTCGGCCCTCGGGCCGAATGCGAGGAATGACAGGAAAAAAAAGTACGGCAATAGCCAAATGGGTAAGACACAAAAAAAAGTCTAATAGTGGTGAAGTTCGATAGGGGTGTTCGCGGAGTCCTCGGTCGGGCTCGGTGGAGCCCCGGTGAAGCCCCCTCCAAAGTCTACCACGTCGCCGCCCCCCCCCCCCCTTCTCAGGGTCGGTCATCAGGTGGCAGAAGTATCGCACGCGAGAACCCCTCGGGTTCGCAGCCAAAACAGAACCTACACAAAAGAAGCAAAACCATCACAACAAGAAAAAGACGAATCGTGTCATCATTCCTAGTGTAAGTTTGGGACCTAGGCCGTCGCAGAAGAAGAAAGAAGAACAGCTCCCGACAGAGGGGGAGGCAGATAATAAATACCATAATAAGAACAAGAGGACGCAGACGCTACGGTATCACGATGCCAATTCGTCAAACAACGAGCGTCCGTGTGTGATGAAGAAGAAGAAGAAGAAGAAGAAGAAGAAGAAGAAGAAGAGACAGAACGTTTCCTCCACCCTCTCGTTGGACTCGTCCCGCCAAAATGCCATTTCCCATGATTCCCGTTGCATATAAAATTCCCGGCCTGCCCATCGCGAAAGGTTTAAGGAACAAAAGCAGACCGTTGACCTAATAAAGGGGGGGGCGAAAACAAAAGAATTCCACGACGCCCTCTCCGTCATTCCCGCAGGAGATAACTTTTATGCGATAAAACTCCATTTTTGATATCCCACGCTCCCCACCCCGACCGACCGATGCGACCTCGGCACGCGTTAGGTCGCATACCCGCGTTCTTCGTTGTCGACGCCCTTCACGTGCCCGATGCCATCATCTTCTCCCGCAGCTCGCGACGCTTGTCTTCCAGCTTGAAGCCGTCCTGGGGGCACTCCCATCCGTTGGGGTCGACCTTTATCCTGGCGAGGCATTTCGTGCACCGCCACCAGGCCGCATTCACCTTGCGCACTTGCAGCCAGTCGTCCGTGATCTCGCCGTTCTTCTTGTTCACGTCCTCTTTGTGAACATCCGTGAGGTGGATTCGTAATCGGTCCTTGCGACTGAATGGTTCGTCTTTGCGGTTGCACGCATTGTAGTCGCAGTAGTAGGCCTCGTCTGACTTCTTTCCTGATGCGCCGGCGACGCTGTTATTGCGGTTCCCTCCGCCCTTTCCGCCGGCTGCGGCCTTGGTGATAACCTTGGGGCTCGGTTTGGGCGTGCTCAGTGCAGGCGTGATTTCCTTGACGGACAAGGCTGGTGAAGGTTGAGTTTGGCTGTCGGAATGGGCCTGTTTGTAGTGCTTGTCGAGATCGAGATTCCGCTTGAAAGGTTTTGCGGTACATTTTTCGTATAGGCAAGTGAAGGCGAAATCCTGCGGCTTCTGAATGGGCGACATGCCCGTGTGCACTCGAGGTATTACTTGAACGAGGCCTTCCGCGACGTAGTCTGGCTGCAGCTTCCAAAAGCCGCCGTTTTCGTCGGGCATATAGTCATATTTGGAGCAGTCAAAATTCTCGATGGATGGTTGAGAAGCTTCGGCCCTAAGGGTACGTGTGTTAGTAGAGATTGGCGCAATCGGGGTCGCAAATGGTGGCGTTTCGACAAAAACTTGTCTTCATTTGTTCAAACAGGTAGGTGATGAGCTGGCTCGATAAACTCACCATTGTTGCGGCGGGTCGATGGTGGGCGGGTTGCTTTTGCTGATGGCAGCGTGCGTTCGTTTCGCGGCGGTTGGAGGGGCCATGATCGGTGTACTTGCTTCTTTGGTGTTTTAATCAGCGGTTTGTCTCTCTTCCCCAGAGCGCGAATCTGTCCTTTCCCATCCGTCCCGTATCGCCCATCTTCGTATCGCAAATTACCCCCCAAGGGCATATCCGCCTGGTATTTGGGGAGAAAGAAAATTGCAGAGAATGGGGAATCCAAAGTATCAATCGCATCATCAGCCAGAACGAGGAAGACGTGTACCAACCTTGAGCCTTGTTTGCTGGCATGGCGATGCGGGCGCAATGACAGACGGACGAGTATGAATACCGAAGTCGAACTGAGCTGGATGATATCGATTCTCTCCTGTCAAGCCAGACCAGGGTCGACTACCTGCAGGTCATGAGAACGGCGTCGAAATCAAGGGCGCAGATGAACGTTTGCGATGTGCAGGAAGGAGGAAAGAAGTGGGAGAAAGGGTCATTTCACAGCAGCCGCCGACGGAAAGCAAAGGAAAGGAATGGGATAGGACAAAAAGGTAAGTTTGCGAGAGAAAAACGGAAGGCCCTTTTGGCTCTCGGTTGTTTGTCGTTTCTCTGGAACCAGGAGAGATAATTATTGCTTTTCTGCCACCCAGGGCAGCAGCAAACCAACTGAGCCGACCGACCAGTCAGCGTGAGTGAGTGTGTCCGTACCAACAAGCTTGACGGGAAAAGTAGTATGTAGCAACCGCAACGGCGGCAGCGGCAGCGGGAGCAACACCAACGGACAGAGCAGAGCAGAGCAGAGCAGAGCAGAGCAGAGCAATCGGGTCAGGCCCAGCCAGGTTCACCGTTCAGTTCAGGCTCAGGTCCGGCGGCGCCCGTACGAACGGCACATGCAGTGCTGTACTCTCGCTTGTTGGTGACTTGCGACCGATTCAATGCCTGCTGGTGCTTGATGCTGGGCTTGGTGCTTGGGACGATGGAGTGAGGCATGCAGTGAAAAGGGTACCTTTTGCATGGAAGAGAGCAGGAGGGCGAGGTATCTCAGTCCCTTAAAGTAACCGACCTTACCTTAGCTTACTTGACATGGCAGGGACCTCGCGGAAGTAAGGGTAAGGGTATCTGCAAGATGTAGCAACACCATCAGCAACAGCAGAAGCTACTATGTACGAAGCTATGCGGTCGCTTTGCAGGCGTTGGTAAGGAACCTGGAAGGTGAAAGTACAGAGTATTCAACCACCACCACCACAATAGGGCATGGTACGTACACGCCCGTTCGTAGCAACACATCTGGTGAGCGTGGCGGGGTTCCATGGTGTTTGTCCAATCCCGGGGAAGGACGGCAGGCCCAGTTCGGCGTTGAGCAGGAGGGGAGTGCGGCGTCCTGCTCGACCCGGGGGGGTAGGTAGTCAGGGGAGGGGTGTCAGGATGTCTGGGTGTGGCCCCCCAAGTGACTTGGCAAGAGTGAGGGATGAGATGTGATTGAGAGTATTTACTATGCAGTAGGTAGGAAGCAAAAAGTGGTAGCAGCAGCAGTAGTAGCAGTAGGCTGTAGCAGAATCAGCAAGCAAACCGGAGAAGCTGTGTTTGCCAGGTAAGGTAGTTGTTATGCGAGCGAGGGTTGACCAATATGCGTGCGGCACCAACGGATACACTGTTGTCCATAGATAGGTATCCGTGGTCACTGTACCGTACGCCACGCCGTTGTTTGGTCGGCATGTCTGGGTTTGGGGGGACGATACAATAGACCATGAACCATGTCTCGGCTGTATGATGTGCTGTACGTGCTGAGATGAGAATAGAAAAGTTGCCCCGTTGCTGACTATCCGAATTTTGGACCGGAGGGATTGAGATCGGAGGGGAGGTTGATGGAGGGAGGGGGGAGACGGCAAGGATTTTGGGGAACGGGCGTGTCCATCCCGAAGAGAGAGAGAGTGTGTGTGTGCGGCGCGGCGGACAGATTGTGAGGAATCCTGTGCAAGTGTGCAGAGCAGAATAGACGACCACTGGGTCTGTTTGAAGGACCTGAGACGAGGCGAACGGCTTCGGCTTCTGGGTTGATTGTTGAGCAGCGTCGGGGGGATGAGGAGGAGCAGATGGTGATGGACAGGTGCGGGAGATGACGTTGGTTGCAATTTTGCACGGATACGGGAGGGAAGTTTCATGGATGGATTGTTCGGTTGGCGCGAGAGCAAGGGCAGGGAAGGCCAAAGGCAGGGTATTCGTACGAGATGCAATGTCAGCCTTCCATTGAGAGGAAGAAACCATGCAAGTGTCTGGAAGATGGCAGGGACCGGTGCGGAAGCAAAGTAAGGCAAAGTAAGCTCGGGGCCTGCAAGAAGAGGTAAATCGTAACGCAGCGGCATTGCATCTCTCTGTGCAGGTGCAGTATCAGCGGGCACCGAACCATTGAAGCGCTAATCAGCCAGCTCATATGCGTAATCGCAGAAGGGAAGAAGGGTCGAGGAAGATTGAGCTGCGAACTGGTGGTCGGTCGCGGTCAAACAGCTGTGCTCCAAACAGCTCATGTGCGTGGGTCGTCTGAATCCTGAGATCCTGAGTCAAGGAAGCTCACCCACGGGCGCCCTGACCAAGTGGGCCGTCATCGCAGCCGCGAGATGATCATTGATCAGGGCCCCAACAGCTTTGTGGAGTGGGTGGGGTCGTGGATATCGTTGGTCGTTGGTTCACTTTCGTTCCGAACTTTTGTGGTGTTGGTGTATGGTGTGGACGTTGTTGGTGTGTTCGTTCGGTTGGACATGGGATGAGATGCAATGTCCATCCGTGGATGCATATTCATGTTGTACGGGTATGTGATGATGGGATGGCCAGACTCAGACTCAGGCCCTGGCAGATTCGAAAAAGACAAAGACGCGGCAAGACGAAACAGCATCTGACGGAGGCAAGAGAGACACAAGACAGCAGATGCAAGAAGCTTAGGTGCAGGAAGGTAGGCACGCACGCACGGCAGGTGAGTTGATAAGGTCAGGCAAGCGTGGTAAGGTAGGTAAGGAAGAAGCAAGCAGGAAGGAGGCGCCGCGCCATGTGCTGTGATTGGCGAGGCAAACCGGGCAAGACTTGCATTCTGGGGGAGCATTGCATCGCGACTTTATTTCTTCTCCTGCCCGTCGTTGTTTCTGGCGCAAGTGAGGTGAGGTGAGGTAGGTGAGGTGCAGTGCTACGTTCCCGCCCAAAAATGTCCGACGGGAAGTAGACCGAAGAAGGTGTTGTCCATGTGCAACGCAACAACGCCTTCCAGGTTTCTCAGGTATGTAAGGTAGTTCCTGCTTGGTTTTGCTGGCTGGTTGTGCCTGCCAGACATGCAACGGGAAGCGACGAAGGGCAGGAGGAAGGCACGCGAGCTGGATCGTACCTGCCCAACTCGTGCGCATATTAAGGTCTCTCGTTCTGTAGATTCGTAGAGAAGGTGCGTCTTGGCACGGAACTGCCCATACAAGCCATGTCCCATTCCGTCCCCTGCCTCCCAACTCGTACGGATTCCAATATCTACCAATATCAATTTCCATCGCGGATACCATTCCAACTCAGAGTCACATCTTGTTGGTTGGAGCAGGCGACACGCGACATGCGACTTGCGCCCGCCGTCGGTTGGTTCAACACGACTCGCGGTTCCAGAACGAGAAGGCACCCGCACAAGTTGATAAGCGAACCGCATGTGAAATGTCTCCTACTGGTAGGTTCTGACAGGAAGGAATACTTAATTGCGCTGCAGGATAAGTACGCATTGACATCCAACAATACCAACAGCATTGGGCTGAAAAAGCACTCGCGCCATCACACCCGTCATCCCTTCTTTTCCTCCCCCATTCCCAGTCCGCATTCCACCGCTCCCATTGGCGTCATGTCACGATCCGGATGCTATGCAGTAATAGGCATGGTCCTGCTTTTGGTATGGCAGTAGCGTCACTCGGGCATCTGGGGCTGTCCCTGGGGACAACTGCAGCACCTCACTTGAGCTTCACAAGCGTCGTGCGTGTCGCTTGGGCTTCTCGCTTCTCCCATTAGGTACAGCTGAGCCGTCATTGGCCCGCTCCGTTTGCTTCCAATTCGCCTCCCGCCCTCCATCACAGACCACAGCTGCTGCCGTCCGACCTCTCCCACCGCCCACCGCCTCCAGACCCCAGATCCCCGGCCCCATCACCATGAAGCTTCGGTGCTTCGGGGGACCCATCCGGCTTCTTCTAGAGATCCATATCACGCATCGCATATGCGGTGTAGAAACGTTCGGCAGCCTCTCGTTGACTTGGCCGCCTCTCACTTGCCAGCACCTGCATGAGCGACCCAGCTAGGCTTACGTCCTTGTCTTGTCCGGTCCATTCCATTGCCGTTCCGACTCATGCTTATCCTGAAAGTGCGGCACTCTCAACGGCAACGGCGAAGGCAGGGACACCACCGATGGGAGAGAAACAGGAATTGTGCTGCGTGGGCAGTGAGACGTTGGGCAGTGATGGTGATGTAAGGTGGTGGTGGTGGCTGCGCCGGCCAAGGTCGTAGACAGCCAGAAAGTCAGATAGATAGCTGCTACCTGCGACAACCTACCACACGCTCACACGCTCAGTACCGTCACTCACCACCAGTCACCACACCTATTCCGAAGGTGCCTGACGTACAGAAAAGTCTGCATTCGTGCAAGAGCGAGGAGGGGCGGTCAGAGCTCGTCCTCTCCCCTCCGCTTCCTTCGTTATTAACCTACCACATATCCCCTCCTTTACCTCTTGTCCTCGTCGTCTGTACCCCATCTTTCCTCCTTCTTCGTTTGCTGCGAGTTGGACGGGGATGTCGAGATGCCTCTTTTGACGCGGTGACTGCAGGAGGAACACGGACCGTCACGTCACGGGCAACGAATAGGCGACCCGACATCTCGCTCTCACCAGCACCCCGAGGGAGGTGAGAGAGAGGGAGGAAAAGTGCCCTTCTCCAAGATACCAATCTGCGGTGCCTTTATCGCTTGCCGCACCTTCACGAAAGCTCCCTTTCATTCTCGGCTCATCCTGCTCCCACCGTCCGAACAGGCGCACTCTCCACCCCCATTCCACCAACCATTCCGACTTTTGTCTTCCTCTCGGTCTCGGCCTGTCGACCGTTCAGCCCGGCGAATCTTGCCCTCCCGTCGCCGCATACCGGACGATACCTTGCCTTACTGGAGCGACAGGGGGCCCCTTTCTCCAACGCCGTGCCGTTTTAGCGCAAATCAATCAGCACCCCTGAGCTGTTGACGAGATTACGGATCCAGCAAAGCATCCGGGAATTAAAAAAAGAAAACGCGGGAAAAAGTTCGGTCACTGCTTTCCGGAGCATCCAACGCAACGCACACGACCAACATCACGACGACACTGTCATCGGCTTCATCGACCTAAACAGTCACCGCCTCTACAAGGTAAGCTATCCCGTCCCGTAATGTCGCTGCCTGCACAAGGTGCATCTCCAGTCTGCGGCCCAAGCCCCAGGTTACGTACTGCTCTGTCGTCCGCGTCCAACAAAAAAAAAAAAGCTAATTCCCTGGCGGAATGGAGCTGAAAAGACACATGGCCTAAACCCATCCAATTGTTTCAAAGCCTCCATTTCTTCCACTTTGACCGACCCTGCACAACCCGCTAACCTGCACCTTTTCATATAGACCACTGTCTTTTCTTGCGAACTCCTTTGCGACCGTCACTTCGACACTTCTCTTCCGACTTCCTATCCATCTCCACGCGTACCCCTAACCGGCCACCACCGACACAATGGCTCGCATCCAGATTCCCATCGACGCCCTGACGTCCCGCCTGAACATCCAGGACCGCTTCAACAGCATGCGCTCCGGCGGCTTGACCGCCAGGTTCGCCAACCTGCGTCCCGTCGGCGAGTTCTTCGACATGAAGCGCCTCTCCAAGCCTGGCAACTTTGGCGAGGTCCAGTCGCGATGGAACTACAACCTCTCCTACTTCTCCAGCAACTACAGCGTCGTCTTCCTAATGCTCAGCATCTACGCGCTGCTCACCAACTGGCTGTTGCTGTTCGACATCATCTTCGTCGTTGCAGGCATGTTCCTCATCGGCAAGCTTGACGGCCGTGATCTCGAGATCGGTACCTTCCGCGCCTCCACCTCCCAGCTGTGGACCGGTCTCCTCGTCATCGCCATTCCCGTGGGCCTGTTCGCGTCGCCCTTCTCGACGCTGCTCTGGCTCATCGGTGCTTCTGGCGTGGTCATTCTCGGCCACGCTGCTTTTATGGACAAGCCCATCGATGAGGCTTTTTCCGGGGAGGCGGTCTAGACGGTCGGCCGCGAGCTCCCAAATTTGCGCCCCAATGGGGAAGACCATCGAGGCGCGGGCGGAGGAATCAGGGAGCAGCGCAACGGGGGCATTGGGATAATGGAGAGAGAGTCGAGGAGCTAGACACGGACGAGAACGATTCGGATATACAAGGCGTTGGTTTGGTTTCGAGGGGCAAGCGGATCGCCAGCGACTCGCTTCGGTTTACGGGTACAGACTTGGGTGACAGGACGGGCACATCGCGGAGGGGCTATGAATATCAGTCAGAGGACGAAGACGACAGCAGCGAGGACGATAGCGAAGAAGACGACGACTCTTCTGAAGACGAGTTCGAGATCGATTGGGATCAGCTTTCGCCGATGGAGCGGGAGGAGGCATTGGTACAGACAGCACTGGCTCGCATCCGCCGTGCCCAGGAAAAGGGCAGAGCAGATGTCAAGCTCAACAAGGACGAGATGGCTGCGCTGGAGCGACACAAGAAACGCATGGCAAAGGAAGCGCGCAAGCAAGAGCGCAAACGGCGCAAGGAGAAGGAGCAACGCTACTCCATCCCGCTGTCACAATTGCAGGCACCGATTAGAAGACGGTCTCCGACTGCGGACGATGACTTGCCGCTCCACCCGTCTCCTGGCACCTTCGACGCGGTTCAAAACCGAGGCGCGATGCCGCCTGTGGGCTACTTTCCTCCCCCGAACGCTTCTCGCACACGCCACCGTTCATCAACTTCTTCCTCCCAGCGACCTCCTTCGGGCGGCGAACCACGGGGTTCGTCGCCATTCCAATACGCGTACGTCGGTTCGCGCCAGGCCTCGGACAACATGTCGCCGGCGTCGTCTACATCATCAAAGTCAAAGTCGAAGGCGGCGGTCGATCCTTTCCAGTTCCAGACGGAGGGTTCCAGCGCCCAAGGCATTGTAGCTCGGCGTAACGTGTCGGGCTCAACAGATGGCAGACGGACTCCTACGGTTCCAGCTACCTCGCGCGTGACCAGGTCGCGGGCTCCACCTCCGGAGTCGGCATCGTCCAGCGACAGCAGCAGCGAGGAAAGCACGGAGGAGAGCACCAGCGACGGTACTGGAAATGGCGCGCAGATCGTCGAGCCTGCACCGCCGCCGCCGCAGACAAGGCGCGGCCGGAGGGAGGCCATCGTTGTCGAAGAGGCTGCATCCCGCGAACCAGCGCGTGAGTCGTCGCGGGGCAAGAAATCGTCTAATCCGTCGCCGTCTAAGAGAAAGCCCGTCGCGAGCAGGAAAAAAAAGAAATGAGTGTCGCCTGGCGTTGTCTTGTATGCATAATAGAGCCTTATTTCCTAATGAATCCGTCTCAACCATTCAAACAGTTGTGTGCTTCCAAGTGAATTGGTGTCTAAGGTCATAATTCGTCTCTTGATCTATACTAAAAACGTATGCATCATGCATCTATATGTAAATGCGCCCGCCAGGTCGACCCCAGAAGCATGGGACGAACCAGAATCTTAACCTTGCCCCAAACGCCCAAAATCGATATATGGATATAACCTTCCCAAGCAACAAAAAAACGCAATCTGCCCTTCGTCCCAGACGAAACCTTTCATAAACCCATAACCACCAGACCCCTCTTTTTCGGAGGTGTCAATCTACACAAACATCTTGGCAATGCCATTCACGATCCCGTCGCTCCACCCGCCCTCCCTCTCGACGCTCCTGCGCTCCCACGACATGCCGCCGTCGTAGCCGCGCTCGACGTGCACGCTGCCGCCGCGCGCGCCGGCGCCGCCGAGGCCGGTGGTGGCCATGCGCATGGCCTCGCCGACGAGGCCGACGGAGTCGCCCTGGGCGGCTTTCGCGCCGATGCCGATCATGCGCTCGATGCCGGGCGGCAGGCGCAGGCCGAAGCGCGCGAGGAGCGCGGTGAGGAAGCCGCCGGTGATGAGGGGCATGATGACGAGCGCGAGGACCTTGTAGGGGTGCTTCTTGGCGTAGTAGACGAGGTCGCGCCAGAGGCGCTTGACTTGCTTCATTGTCTTGTGGAGGAAGCCGGAGCGCGGGGAGCGTTTGTAGTAGGAGGGCGAGCGGCCTGGGATTCGGGGTTAGTGGGTGGGATGTCTTGGATGTCGCGGGGCACACGGGGGAGGAGAGCACAGAGACATAGGGCACAGAGTACAGAGACACGACGTACCTCCAAAGCCGAAGAAGCCCGACGAGGAGCGGGAGGCATTGGGGATGCCGAAGAAGCTGGAGCGGGACGAGTTGTGCTTCCTGTAGTGGTCGTCGCCGCCGCCGAAGATGGAGCCGACGATGCTCGGGGCGCTGTGCCGCTTGTTGCTCTTTGAGCGGGAGGAGGAGTTGGAGCGCGAGCGGTGCTTGGATTTGGAGGATTTGTGGTGCGAGGAGTGCCGGCGCGAGTGGGATGACTTGTGGGAGAGGACGGACCCGTTGTCGAAGTCGAAGAAGCCCATTGTTGCGGTGTTTTATGTTCTCTATCTGAAGGGTGTTGTCTAATTGTCTAGAGGAGGGGAATTGAAGACGGGAGGGGTTCTGGTTCTCGGAGCAGGGAAGATGGATGCTGGCTGCTGGGAGTAGTTCGCGGGACGGGTGCGTAGGGCTGGTGGCGGGTTTGTTGGCGTGGTTCGGTTGTGTGAGCTGGGGGAGAGGATGGAGGAGAGCAAGGTTGAAGAAGGACCAGCTTGGGATCTGTGCTGGAATGGCTTTCCTTGTGAGAGGGGTGAGGAAGGTGAGGGATGGGAGGGAAGCGAGAGCAGTGGAGGAGGGAAAGAAGTGGACGTGGAGGAAGAGAGTGTGGGTTTGTGTGTGAGAGAGAGACTGGGGGGAGAAGAGGAATCCACCACGGAGCGCGGAAAGAGAGTGAGAGAGTGACAAGATATGGACTCGGTGTAACCTGGAACACACGCCCGTTTTTTTCGTGCGCTTGTCTTTGTATCCCCCGCCCCTCTTGTGTGTGTGAGGCTGGAGAAATGGAGAATGCGACGTTGGGGCTTTTTCTTGCTCTTGCGCACGTGGGGTTTGGTTATTCTTGGATTTGAAGCTGTTTGATGATGATGAAAAGCTATGAATGGCTAGTCATGGGGGTATCTGCCTTTTTAAAGCCTTTTTCAAGGAGGATGAATTGGGCCAAATTCGATGATACGAAACTGGTCACCTTGGGCTTCAAGGTGAAAAAGCTTAGGTTCGAAGATCAGACGTTCTGGATTCCGTTCAAGCTAGGGGGGGCCGCTTGATCGTGGAGCTCTCTGGTTTGCTTGAAGAAGTGGACGACGCAAGGTTAGAGGCCAGGACGCGCGCAGCGGGCAATGTGGACTCTTTTCTTCGCGATGCGAGTGTGCGTTTGCAGCCTCCGTCGTTTCCTCTCTCCTGCGTTTTCGTCTCGTCTTTTTTCGCTAGTGCCGGGGATTTTAGTCTGGCGATTGTCGATGAGTGGACGGGGAAAAGTGCCGGGAACGATGATGTGGTCTGTATGGAATGTGGAATATGGGAAAAAATGTGGACGGGATGCCCTCTTTTTCTGCGGGTGTGAGAGGTGAACCGGAGGGGGGAAACCAAGATATGGCCGGGGTGGTCGCTTTCTGGTAGCGAGGGTTTCTTCGATGTAGGCCTGGTCCGTTGTTGAAGAGTCCAGAACGTGGTAGGGCCAATTGAATGTGCGAATTGCGCTTTGGGTAATCAGGTTTCGCTGCAGTCGAGAGTTTTGGGGCATATACGACGTTGTGAGATGTGGTATTTTCTCTTGTTTGCCTTTTCTGATAGAAACCGGCGGTGAGAGGGAATTGGAAATCTGACTGATATTTTTTTGCAGATTTGTGCGAGGACTACGGATTATGGGCTATGGAAAGTCTGCCTTCTGAGACATTTCGCGGAGTTTGCGACTGAGGATGGCAGACGGGCCAAAAAAGAAGATGGCTGGGGATTTTCGGGGGCCTTGTCTCTGATGACTGACATGAACCTCTGGGCAAAGCGCAGGCACAGGCACAGGGTCCCCCAGCTGCGTGCGATTTGCGAAAGCTCCTCCCAACTCCTCCGCAAGAGCTCTGAGCTTCGAAAAGAGCTGCGTGCTCCGTGCACGAACTGGGCTGCGCTAGCAGATGAGAAAAACGTGATGGAGGGTGGCGCTAGGCGGGTTCTGGGTTAGGGCGGTGGTTGATCAGTTGCGGTCTGTGGAGAAGAGGGAGGGCTGGGATCGTGAGAGGTTTGTTCGCTTTTTCGTGTTGGTTGGGAGGGGCTTTTTTGGGTGGGTGGAGGGGGCCGTTTCGAAGTCTTGGCTGTTTAGCGATTTGATTTTGGAATTGGGCCTCAACGCCAGAGGACCGGTTTTTCGATATTGATGATGGCAAAGCTGAGATGAACTCTTACCGCGAGTACGGCTAGCCCTGTCTTCTGAACTGTGGGTAGGACGGTCAACACCCCGCTGGTTGAAGACGGGGCCGTCAAGACTACGCAGGCATGAGAGTCCGCATCGCCAATCTTTCTGTACCTTTCGAACGCGGCAGGGCCAATTTAAATCTCAACAACGATCACTAGCCGGCCCAGAACGGATGATTGAACTTGTACTTCTCCCACTTGGCCCTTCACGGCACGAGACGTGGTGGGCATCTACACCCGGTGCACGTCATCTTCCGGGCGATGATTTTGCTCTAGATCGTCATTTCTGTTGTTTCTGGAACATATGTTTAAGTATTATTCAGCGCGGTGCTTTGTCGTAGCATGAGGCACACGGAGTTGCAACAGAAGGTTAGTAGATCTGGCCTAGGCGGCCTGCTTCGGATAAGTCCCCTCGATGGAACATTTAATGTTAGAAAGGCATCATTCTGTTGTTCCTTGTTCCAAAAAATCAGACACCGAATGTATTCCTTTTATACATGATGCGAGAAAGAGCCGTTTCGGTCTCTTAGAAAAATCGGGTCGATACATGTACTCTCACGATTGGGTACTAATAGGCATATGGGGAGCACTTCAGTAGACTCAATACTCCATGGGAAATACCTTCAGCTGGTGTCCAGGCGGTTGAAAGCTCGTCGTGCAACATGTCCTTAAAGAAAAGGCTCATACGGTTCTCAGAAGACATCATTTCAGTCGGGGTCTCTGTCAAGACCGGCTGGGCCCACAGGCTTCACGTCAATGTTTCTGTCGTTGAGGACGTATTCATCGCAACAGTCTGCATGTAATAATGCGAGACAGTTACATTTTGAAGTCCATACTCACGTTGAACGGGTTTCCAGGAGTCGTATGAATAGGACTCAGCTTCCTTCGAGTGCTAAATACGTCCCACTGTGAAGTCTTCATGACTTTGAGCTGGATACGACGACGACAATCACATTGCTTGCTATTGGTGCTTGAAGGTCTCCCTCTGAGTTTTATGGCTGGGGCTAGCCTGATCCACAAGGCCACGAGGGAAACTCTGCGATGTGTGAGGCCTTTGCTGAGCCTGCTGATGTCACAGAAAGGATCTCGTAAAAGGAAATACCTTGAGATGACGGGGAAGCGCCAGAACACACAATAAGGTCTCGGGGGAGATTCGCGCTATTTAGGACCAAGGTTTTTGCCTCAGACCAAACAGACCTGTACGTTACATTGTGTCCTGACGATGTCTTGCACATTATTCATATCCAATGTGATGGTTGCTGTCGTCTGTCTCTGCCCACTGCCATCCGTTGGGTATTCGCGGCCTTGAATGGAAGTTTGCTTTAGGCACTTGGGAATAACTTAGAAGCATTCCTTAGATTTCTACACCCAGGACTACGTCGGTGATCATAAAATCTTTCCAGACGTCTCGGCACAAACGTGGATTGGTTTCATGCCGATCACAATCGCCGGCGCCTATGCTTTTTATACTGTAAAATAAATAGAATCCGTGTTTTAGCCTCGTTTTGAATGAAATTTGCGCTTCACATTGCATATCGCTCTTTGAGTTGAAGCACTATTGCTAGCTGGTGTAGTCTAAAATGACCACCATCAAGACCATGATGAAAAAGAAGAATATATAAGAAACCGCTCCAAGATCTTCTATTATCGGAGTCTTAGGCAAAATGGGTTGGCCTCTGATCTCCTGTGAGGTCTGCACAATGTTGATGTGAAAGACGTGCGTGACGTGGTGTTCATTGGCGTCAAGGTTTGCACTGTCGTTCTTGCCCATGTTGTTGGAGTTGACCTTGAGAGCGGCAAATCATCACTCATCACTCTCATCATCTACAAAGTATTTTACAGTATCATCTGCTGCATAATCTTCAGGTTACTTCAAGACTCACACGACGAGAGGCTCGTTTCTTCTCCAT